ATGTTGGATTTTTAACTAGTGGATTGTATGTCTTCCGAAGATTAAGAATTAGGATACCAACTGTAACTTGCTTATAGTTCAAAATGCTCCCTTCACAATATTATAGTAGTGTTGTATACTTCATGTATGCATTCTAATACATCATGTTTTAGGTTTCATCTCCCTTCTTGAGGGTGCCCCTAGCAATATGTTGTATGACAGTGTTAGGAATTTCAATCCTGCTATGTATTTTGATTTATTCACACCAAATGATTTAGCATTTAGTTTTTGCTACTTTCCAGTATAGCTGTTAGTCTCGCTAGTCTATGCTCATTCAATCTGTTTAACCTCTCATTGATACACCAATCAACGGAACTAATGCAGGCATTGAGATCCCAAAGTATGTTGACACTGTCACTCCTGAGTACAAGCCAAAGTTTGATGCTCTGGTGAGGATTCACCATTATAAATATGCTTCACTTTCCTGTTATTCGCATAGGCACCTTCTTTGGTACAAATTGGATTGCCACTGATGGCTCTTCCACTCAGATCCTTATGAACTTTCTTTTGAAAATGCATAGTTAATCGAAATGAAGGAAGCAGAGAAGACATCTCTGAAGGAATCAGAGAGGATAGAGAAGGAGATTGCTGAATTGAAAGAGATGAAGGTGAGGTGGATCTTTGACAAATTTGGTACCAGTTGCTTTTACATTCATCCTAACATCTTGTTTACACATGCAGAAAAAGATCAGCACAATGACAGCAGACGAGTACTTCGCGAAGCACCCTGAACTCAAGAAGAAGTTTGATGATGAGATCCGTAATGATTACTGGGGATACTAGATAACGGCGAAAGTCCAAGTTCTTTTACTAGAACATGCAATAATACTTATTTGTCCCTCTGGAATCTCATCATCCATACTTGGGTGAATTCCATAACATGTGGACTGGGCTTGTTGAAATTCCAACATAACTCTTATCTTTGTGCTTTCTGTTGGACCTCATCATTTTAAGGGTTGCCAGCTTATTTCAATGAAATTTTGTCTTGTGTTTTAACTTTTGCTCCTTTGTACAAGAGGATTTCTGCTATGGCTTGATTCCTCCATGTACCTTGTCGTTTGTCAATGTGCTCATCCTTGATAGACACCGATCTTTAGGCTGGGAGAGAGGAGTTAACCTAACATGTGACATGTCTGTAACAACATTGTGCATTTCTGATGACTGAAGCTTTCTTAAATTCGTGAACTGCAATGATGCATACTAGTACGTCCCAAGAAAATGGTATCCAGTAATTGAGTGCAATGATGCATACTACTTCCTCCTTCCTAATACAAGTCTTTTTAGAGATTTCAATAAGGACTACATACAGATGTATATAGACATCTTTTAAATTGTAGATTCACTCATTTTGCTTTTCTATGTAGTCCACATTGGAATCACTAAAAGGACTTATGTTTAGGAACGGAGGCAGTAGAATGGAGCGCTGACATGAACTGATGCTGTAAGAATTCCATCAGTGATTACAAAGTTCAATACAATCCACCCATATTCTGAGCTCAACAGAACAATTACCGCTTGTTTGGGTTGCCTGATTTCATTTCATTTGGTAAGGGTATTGGCTGAATCGAGGCCCCAAATCCAAATTTCATGTTTGGCTGGCACTACGATTTAGAGGTGAAATCCTTGCCAACACCAAAATGAGGAACAATATAACATTGAACCTCTACTGTTCACACATACAACAATGTTTTGCTTTAAACTGAAACTTGCCAGTACATACTCCCTCCGTTCGGAAATAACTCCTTGCGTCAGTTATTTTCAAACGGAGGTAGTAGAAAATAAAGCAAAAGGAGAACATTTAACATAAGACTTTGTAAAAAGTTCAATCTTTGCAATGCAACAAAGGTTCACAGCAACATCAAATGATGACAATTTAGCCAAGGTTACATTGAAACTGAATATTTCCATTCCTAATACCACGGAGGAAGATTTTCATTGCTTGAGAATCTTTCTGTCTTCATTCTTTCCTTCATTGCCATACTATGCCCAATATTTGATGACCTATTGCCTGTAGCAAGGGTTTCTTTGTTTTCCTGCAAAATGTGATTGGAAAATGTTCTCACAGTGTACAGACTGTAGATTGTAAGTAATAATGGTGACTCTAGTGACTCGTACATTTCTAATATGTACATATGATTGTCATATATTCCTGGGTAGCATTCAATATGCCTAGCCATGTAGCTTACACAAAGGTGTAAGAAGAAGATCACACGAAAGAAGATAAACAATCAAGATATTGAGTAAGATAACAAGAAAGGTGTATCATCACTATATTGTACCAGATTAAATGAAGAGGACATAGAATGAACACCCAACAAAGCACATAGCATGAAAAGGCTGGTATAATGCACACACAGCTAGAAGGGAAGAAACTGCAGGGACTGTTCGTTAAATAAATAAATACTCACTCGATTAGTATACATACATCTACTTTTGGATAATGCATTGTAACATGGGTGGTAGCTAGGAGAAGCAGTAAGAGAGACCATGCTAAATAAATAAGTGTCATTTCTATCCCATTGGTACCAAAGTCACTAAGCCATGCCTTAATTAATGTTAGTACTACTGTTAGTAGTACCATGTAGAGCTAATTTTTACACATTAGTACTTTATTCGCAAAAAATGTTATAATAGAAAACGAGCAGAACTTTACTTGAGATATTACGCGCTTGGCAATGACTAGCAATCAATGTCAAAGAGCCAAAAGACAAGCTTAATTAACTTCTGGAATATATCTGCGATGTTCCTAGAGAGGCAAACACAAAAAAAGTGCAGCTGGCTATGCATAGAAATCAACTAGCAGAGAGCCAGAAACAAGCTTGATACAAATACTAGATGTTGAGCACGATGAATACCATTCACAGTAAAGAAATCTTCTTCTGGTAATCAAATCGATAAAGACACATTTACATCAGGCTTGTAGTGGGAGTATTTTTTTTTTGACAATCCTAGGGCTTTTATTATTGATTAATCATGGTCATTGCCTGTGAGATATTTTCACATCTTTATGTCCAACAAAATTTCTTAGAAGTTGTGCTTTCTGCTAGAAATGATCAAAGATCTACCTAGAGGGTGGGGGGTGGGGTGGGGTGGGGGGTGAATAGGTATAATTACAATTTTTAATTATTACTTGGGAATTTTAGGCAATTATGAGGAATATGAAAGTGAGCCTAAGAATTGCAAAAGTGATACTAGTGCTAGCAATATACTCAACAAGTAGAAAGGCAAGCAACCACAATAAGATATAGCAAGTAAAACAAAGCACAAGTAACCATAAGTAAGGAGTTAGGGTTAGGGTTAACCGAAAGCATGTATCCCGATGTTCACTTCCTTGGAGGGAAGCTAGTCACCGTTGAAGGGGCGGGTGTTACCATGAAGGCACAATACATCTCGACGGATCACCCTATTCTCCTTGAGATATCACCACGAAGGCGATTCTCAACCACTAGTGGTAGACCTTGAGGCGGCCTCCAAACCTTCATAAGCTTTTCGGGGGTAATCACAACAACTGATTCCTTTCCGAAGAACTCCTACCGCCTAAGAGTCTCCAACCTCAAACAATAACAAGAACAATGGGAAAAAGCTAAGACTTGCTCAAATCAAGATTTCCTTTGGTCAAGAGAGGGGGAGGAATGTATCTATCACTTGGTGGAAAATCTCTCAAGAACTCTCAGAAATCTCTCCGGGATCTAAGATTTGGTGAAGGAGGGAGTGAGAGGGAGCACTTGGGTGTTTTAGGGTTGCTTTGAATGAAGTGGTCAACCAACTCCCGGAATGGGAGAGGGGTATATATAGTGTAGCTCCGAATAGAGCCGTTTGAGTGTAAAGTGGTTGTTAAGTACCGAACATCCGTTGTATCACTGGACACTTGGTGGCTGGAAGACATGCACAGCGATATGAACATCGTAGGCAAAGAACATAGTGGGGGACCGGACATCCGGTAAAGTACTGGACATCCAGTGGTGCATTCAGCTACCGGACATCTGGTGCATACTGGACATCCTGCTCGGATAACATAGCTTCTGTTGGGTTCTGGCCGGATTTCTTGTATGCTCATCCAGAGCCAGGGTGATGGACCAGACATCCGGTGTGTACCAAACATCCAGTGTTTGAAAGTCATGTACATGAAGATGCAGGAGGGACAGAACATCCCGTGGAGTACCGGACATCTGGTGGAACATTGAGCCACGGGACAACCGGTGCCAACCATAAGTCCAGCCCAAATCACATAGCCACTGGTGCCCGGGGACCGGATTTTCGGTGTGTACCGGACATCCAGTGCTAGGACAATAGACCTGACATCCATTACGACAGTGATGGCAGTGGAGCACAGGTGGTGCACTATAGATTAGGAAGTCCTATACAATTTTTCCGTGAAGTATAGAAGCAGAGTTTCTTGGCTGGAGTATGGGTGTAGCATTTGCACTGGATATGAGTGGAATATTGGGTAAGGAGTGAACGTGAAATATGTTAGAAAGTGTGAGCTTGGGCTTATCTCTTCAAACCCCATCGATCCTCTCTTAATAATGTGGGATCCCTATACTCAAGAACAAACCCAAAAGGCTACGCATATATATTAGAAATAAACCCAAGAATTACATGTCATTTTTGGAAAAAACGAGCTGAAAACAAAGATTTGATAATGGTTCAAGGACTGCAAGAATTTTTGGAAAAAACGAGCTCCCTCCCTCCCTCGTCCGCCGCCGCTCCCTCCCACCACCTCCTCCTCCTTCTTCTGCGCCCTAGGAGCCCCGCCGCCGCCTGCTACTCCTCCACCGCCTCGCCTCTTCCTCCTCCCCGCCTTCCCATCGCTTAGGTTGGCGGTTAGCGGCGGCTCGATCCACTCCGTGGTTTCAGATGGGCCGCCTTCCCCATCTCTTGTCCGTGTCCGGTGCCGTCACTCGATCTTGATCTTGGGAGCATGCGGGAGAGAGGCGTCGTGTCTATTGCCAGGACGGGACATGGGGGTGGAGGCGAGCGAGAGAGCGGATGTTGCTGAAGAAGCTGGGGAGGCAAGACGAGGGCGGCGTGGCGTTCCGTGGCCGCGGTGGCCAGAGGGGCGGCTCCATGTCGCGGTGTATGAGGTGCCTAGAGGAGGATGCTGCGGCAGGTTAAACTCCTCTCCCGTTGTAGAGCAGTCCGCAGTGCCATCACCGTCGTCCTTGCCTTCGAGCCATCCGTGCCGCCGTCGCCGTCGCCTAGAGGACGCCGGTAGGAAGCAGCAGCTCACCGTTTCCTTGGTCCCCGCCGACGCCAAGCGAGAAGAGAAGGTGAGATCGAATTTGTCTGATCTTTCTTTTTCCCTGTCCCTCCCATGGATTTTCCCGGATCTTGGTGAGCTCCTCAACCACCAGATTTTGTGTGTTCTGTGAATCCAATCCTTCCGCCTGCAGGGGGTGCTTTGGGGTTTCTGTAGGGACGAGGAGAGGATTTGTGATGCGCATCGCCGCCCCTCTCTCTTTCTCTCGACTCAATCTCATTTTTTCCTTCTAAACAGTCAAATTGCCAGTCAGTTTAGCTGTACTGAGCGACAAAGAAAAATGTGCAGGCTTCTCTTTGTATCCCATGCACGTGTGCTGTAGTTGTAGCAAGAAAATTCTTCGGATTTCCCTGGCAATCTGTCAGTTTAGCTTCAGGCATTCCTTTGTATCATTCAGACTTATAGTTATTTTCTTACTTTCTGTAGGCACGTGTGCTGTAGGTGTAGCAAATTGGACAAGCTACATCGCTAATGCCGGGTGTACGGAGCTCAGGAAGGCTATCTGCAACAAGCTTCAGGGTACGTGCACACGGATGCATTTCTTATTCGACGCTGCTATACAGACGACAGATTTGGACGATCAGCGGACGACACTACACGTCAAGCCGTTGATGTGTTAGAGCAAAAGCAAACAACACCGTTCATTCCTGCATCGTGTGGGGTTCGTCCAGCTAGTATCGTCCATCCAGCAGTTTCGTTTCTTATTTTCAGAATATCCATATTGAATAAGTAGTCTAATTGACTTTCTTGTCGCTCGGTTATCGATATGCAGAGGATAATGGTCTAACCTATAGCCCAGATCATGTGCTAGCGACCAATGGGGCTAAGCAATGCACTACACACGCTGTTCTTGATGTTCTCTCATGTGGTGATGAGGTAAAGTTATCATCTTTGTATATCAGAATTTTCTAGGATAAACACTTTTCATTCTAGATTAGATAATACCATGAAAATATCAGCACCAAGTGTTTATCCTGTAGTCCTTTTTGTTGTTCCATGTTCCTAAAATTTAGCAAACTGCTTCATTTTCTTTTAAACTGCAATTTTTGTTTGGGTCTTCCATGCTTTGTCATTAACTCATGATGTGGATGATGCAGCGCCATGGATCAGTCCCTGCTATAGGAGAGAGAGAAGATGAGAGGATGAGAGAGAAGGAAGGAGAGGAGGGAGAAAGAGAGAGGAAAGAGTACCTGGAGGTGCGTCGACCGGCGTCGGCATGTGCTGGCAAGGTTGGGCGGGACCGGGTGGTTGGCTGCGGCTCCGTGGTTTCAGATGGGGCACCGTGGGGAGCCAGGGAGGCAGCTTGGCCCAGCCATGGCGTTGGTGCTGCGGAGAGCCGCCTCGCGCTACTTCATCGTCGACACTACAGGCTTCGCCGCCGCCTACGCGATGCCGCCCCAGGGGGATCAGCAGCAGCCCCCCTCGCTGCAGGGGCCCAGCCAGCAGGTCGGGGCCAAGCTGGGGCCCTGCATCGAGTGCAGCGCCACCGGCACAAGAAGTGCTCTGGGTGCAAGTGCATGCATATTGGTGCGCCCCCACCCCCCGCCCTCGTCCCCCTCCCTATTTCTTGGTATGACATGGTTGTGTGCGTCCTGATCTTGCATTGCCGCTGAGTCCCTGCGGAATCGTGGCGCCCCCTTTCTGTAATTCGTTGCTTGATGCGTGCTATTGTGCCGGGATCCTCCACCGTTCTTGGCCCTACCCCCGGTGTCCATGAATGTAGATTGTGATTTCTGTCGTTTCTTGGATGCTTTGGGAAATTGGGTCTTACCTTACCCCTGTTGTCCATTATTGCGAAATTGTGATTTTGCTCTTGCTTCTTGGATGCTTGTGTAATTCGGTGTTTAGGTTCAGTGATTTTAGTGGTTCTTGAGGATCCAAGACATACATAGTAGATGGGAACCTCTGTTCTTGTGAGGTTATTGAGTGGTGATCATGCGGTTTGGTGTTCTCATGAGATAAGTGCCTTCTTGCGGGCCCCTTGCATCTTATTTGTGCGATTTGGCTGTGTATGTCTATAATAGGTACTTTGCTTTTTAGGATTAATGATTAAGCGGTTCATGGTGTTGAGCATAAGGTAGTTGATGAGCCAGGGAGGCGGCTTGGCCCAGCCATGGCGTTGGTGCTGCGGACTCCCCGCCGCGTGGCGTCTCGCTGCTCGTCCCTTCTGGTCACACCTCCCCATGTGAGTTCCTCCACCCTAATTCAGCTCCCCTTGCTATCTAATTTCAATTTTGTTTCGCATGTGGGTTTGGGTGGCCAGGAGATTTTGCACCACCAACTATAGCAACACCTTTTTTTTTGCCAGTTAGTGTTACGGTTCCTGCTGACGGTGTATATCCCTTGAACAACAATCTTCCATCTTCAGCTGCTACACATCCAACTGCAGTAGCAAATACCTCCATCCCCGATACACTGCGGATGGTAGCTCTGAAACTATTGGTTGCTTAAGTAGTTTCTGTCAAGTTGTATATTTAGCTGTTGGCTGCCATTTGTAGTTGCAGTTAGTATCTTCTTTATTTCACACCATGTTTTCTTATGTCTTGCTTCTATCTTGCTGGACTTGTGGGATCTAAGTGATCTATAATTGTGTTTTCTGGTCATTACATCAAAAAATGTATCCCCACTTTCAAAGATGATCCTTGTTTGTTGCAAGGGAAAGATCTATTCTTGCACTGCGCTAAGCACATCACAAGTAGGTAGGTTAGGTTATTTATGTGAAGTTTTCTTGCTATATATGTTGTGGAATCAAGGTGTCTATTGACCAAATGAAGAATGATATATCTATCTGCATATTTTTCTTTTTAGATGAATTTGACTAACTATGCCTACTCTTTCAGCTTAAAGTGTATTTGAGAACCCATGCACTTGACCAAATGGTTCACGCAGTAGCTGCTTCATTTGGCATTAGAATGATTACCAAATTTTGCTACGAACTTATGCTGCTACTATAACCTTTTTGTAGGTAAATTTGAAGCCTAAGGTGCCAACAAAGGTAGTTTGTGCTGAACATCTTGAGTTACAGAACGAGATACTCACACTGCTTAACATACAGAGGCAAGTACTTTCCTAAAGGAGCTCCTGAATGCTTTAGGCTTTGATGTCTGCTTTAGTCTGATATTTCCATTTGATCTTCCAAAAGGAGCAACCATCACAGTGCTGAAATTATGTTCCACTTGATGGTTCTTAATTGTATTTCTCAGTTTAGGTTTGGACTTGCACTATAGGTGGTTGCGAATCTCAGGCTTTGCGTGTCTGTCTATGACATCCTTGCCGTCGAAGGCGGATTCACCTTTCCATGATAGGGCTGCTCGACGTATAAAGTAATTAGTGCCATCATCTTTGCCATCCATTTATCTTTATTAAGGAATGTGATGTTACTACTTACTAATTATGTATGTTGTTTAGTATTTGCAGAAGCATTCTCAACTTTCCTCTGTACTTTCTCTTTTCTCTATACTTTGTTTGGGTAGTATTTACCCTGTCCCGAGAATAGCAGAGATAGACATGCCTATGTGTACAGCTAAGTAATCAAAATAGTTGAGATAGACATGCCTATGTCTACAGGAAAACCAGCTTAACATTCATATCTCAACTCCCTATACACTCTGACCAGACATAAAATTAAGCTTAGGTCAGCAAACTGGAAAAAGGGCATATATGGTTACCGTGTAGAGTATGTGAGTAAATACACATGTTGCATGGTGCATGTTTTTTGCTGTGAGTTTCTTTGTATGCTAGCGGAGCTCGAGTTCAATAGTTCTTCACATTACATATTTGTTATTCACCCCCGTACTGCATTTCTGTAAAATACATTGGTTCCAGTCTTGACTATGGGCTGTTTTGCCATGCTTACATCAGAGCTCAAAAGTAGATGTCATCAGCAAGTAGGTGATACATGTCTATCTGATTTAGCATTTTGGAATTGCTCACAACATTTCTTTCGGCATGTCAATGAAAATGGCACCTTCCCATTCTGATGTTCATTATGTTTCTTGAAGCCCTCACCATCTTTATATTCATTACATATTCTCAAAAGCTTATTTCTTAATAATACCTAAAGTGAATACCATGAGCTACCTCTCCAGTTTATTCTTATTTGAGTATTAAGAGCACCTACATTGCTTTGGTTCTGTATGACTGATCAAATTTACACACACCTCAATCATAGTAAAATCTGGAAGACGACGTAAAAGAATCAAAGAAAAGTAGAGATGCACAATAGTTTTTGCTTTTCAGGGATTGTTCTTGGGTTCAGCTTTCGCCGGCATGTTGTTATTATAGAGTTACCGTATCTCTTTGAATCGTCATATGTACTCCAAACTCTTATAGATTATGCAACTAGCTAATGGTTGGAACTTTTACTCAACTTTATTATAGGTGGCACAAAGTCATGTTAGTTGCCATTTTATTGCTACAGATATGTTCTTGTTCTGATTGTTTATGTGATGATTATATTCATGTGTATGTAGCACAACCTCATGTTTACATTTGGCTTGAAGTCGGCTGTACTCTTTTTTGCTTTTGTTACAAGATATATCATCAATTTCTTGTCTGGACGTACTTTTATTAGTTTGCTTCTAACTGCATCTTAATATGTACTCAGTAGGCTCTACAGGATTCGATGATGGATGTGTGAATGTGAGCAATCAGGATATAAATTTCTTCCAACAGCAAGACATGCTGATTAGATTCAGGAATATGTTCTTGCGTCCCAGCTTTGCAGCTTCACGTTGTAGGACTAATATTTGGTACCTGACATGAGATTGAGAAATACCATGCTTTAATTAATTAGTACATACCTTGTGCAGGGCACATAAAATATATCTGATATCGGTTTTTTGTTATTTATATTTTTATCTTTTCTACCCTAATTCAGTAGCACCATTTCTTGATGTTATTTCTCTATAGGATTGTTGCTTCCACTATAGCTTTTCCCCTCTGAAATGAATTTGAATTAGGTCACTTTAGTGTCAAGGTAAAAATTTCTTTGTTCTCGGGAAGAGCCAATATCCTAGGTGATCGTTAAATATTATTAATAATTACCAATTAATAATTATGTGCTTGACTGTTTGTTGATGACCAATAATTATGTATTTCACTTATAAGTAACTATCTAATTTGCATGTTCCATTTTATTTCAGATGTAACACATTCTTTGTATGTATTCTGATGGATTTTAGATATGCTCACTTGATATCATTTTTTTCTCTTGACTCTAAAACATGTATGTACAAGCTATTTAAGAGGGACAAGAAGGCGGAATAGCCTCGCTTATACAGTTTCTGACTGCTAACAGTGCCATCATCAATGAGCTTCACTCTAAAGTCTGTTCATGGGAGGGTTGGGCTTCCTTCAATGCTAGGGCTGAAATTGGAGAATAAACAAGGGGTTGACATGCTTGTGAAGTTCTATTAGGTATGCTTCTCTCTCTCCCCAAATCTTTCGGTTCCTGAAGCACAAACCCTGTCAGTTTGTCCATATGTAGATTTTTTCCCTTCTTGTTGGTGCACTATTCTCGGGTTTTTGTGTGTTTCTTTCTTGCGGCCAGCTTGACCATTTACTCTGGAAGGAGTTATTCAACTAAAAAAGAGCGAACAAGTTGAGATTCTTTTGTCTTGTCCATATCGTTCCTACAATGTTGTTTGGGTTGATTTTCTTGCTTTTTTGTAGTTTGTGGAGAGAGTTAAGTAGCAGGGTAGCCTTTCTATGGTGGCGATCGCATGCTGTGCAGCCGAGTGTAGTTAATTTGGTGGTTCATGTTACAAGAAAAATCATTCCTCTGTAGGTTTCAGGTTCCTTTTGTTGTGAGGTGCTCCATGGCCCTTTGCTTGGTTGCTCTGTGGTGAGGCAATAGAGATAATTAGCAGTCTTGTATACTAACCAAGAGAACATCCATTTCATGATTTTGGGTATTGGGTTCTCTTTGCTAAACTAGCTGCAGCTAGATGAGAGAAGTAGTAAGTAATATCAGGTGCATAATTTCTATCAGTCTGTGTATTCTAATGACTACCGATATCCCCTTGCCTGTAGTGTGGCACTGAATCAATAGTCATTTTTGCACAATCATGTGTCATGTTCCTTTATGAATCATATAATATCAAGAGACAACTTATGGAACTGTTCAGATTTTTATGGCAACCCTAACTTCGCTAGGTAATAACTTTTTTTGGTCTTTATCCAACTGGTTTTTATCATATCAAATTACTGCAGAGCGTACTGATTTTTTGTCACCTAGCAACGGTGCCTTTCAGTTCAACTAACCTCCGAAGGTTTAAGGTGAACAATGAGATATTTTTGGGTTTGTTTGAACTGTTGTGTCTGTCCACTTGAGTGCCTCCATATGTGGTTCTCCTGTTGCATTAGTTATATTATTATTTTTGATCATCTTGCCCAAAACTAAAGTTTCACTACATGAAAAATGACTACTTTATTTTATACCATGTTATCCTCTTTCTCTTCCCCACAGGACAGCGTCTCCCCGCGTTCTCGATCTGGCGCCGCCACATATCATGATTCTGGATCGGGCGCAGGTCATCGCCATAAGAGAGCCTGGCTGGTGTGGTCTTCATGCTTGGTGTGTAGAAGCACGGGGGATGAGTAGGACGGGCATGGTGAAGGAGCAGCTAGGCTGGAGCTCCGGCGTTGCTCGTGTCATGGTCGAATGGAGCCGGCCATCACTATGGGCTGCTGCTCACCGGTCGTCATTCCCCAATCTCAGTTGCTCATCTTTGGCTTCACCATCTTCCTCCCCTGATCATGCATCTATTTTAGATCATATAATTATGCTATATCATATATGTTGTTTAGTTCAGACTTGTGCATGTGCATGCATTGGCATTGATTTAGACAGAGATATTGCATGATTTGTACATAGAAGGAGTACGGATGATCTAGGAATAAATGTTTGAATAAAGTTAGTAGTGAGATTTAGATAGAGGTTACCTGCACTGTTCTGTTTTATGTAGATTCTAAGCTGCAAAATCATACATGGTCCTGTTAGTAATTTGTTTGAGTTCCGAGTTTACGCATTTTCCCTTCGAATGTTTGTATGTGTGATCACTTGCTTTTAGGTTCCCAGTGGTATATCATGAGAAGTTTTTTACTCTGCACCGGGTGATCAACTACATATTTAGACGAATACACTATTCAGGACGAGGAACATTAAGATTTCTAATGTTGTTTTCCTCTTTCAAGATTGCAGTTTTCATAAGCCTTAGATAGCTAAGGTACACATAGTTTTTATTTAACATTTTTTACTGTTCTCTCATCTCCTATATGGTGTCTAAGAAATACTAATGTAGACAATTCAAATTTTTTAAATACCTTCCGGCCAATTATGTGGGGAAGGTGCAGCAAGCCGACCCCCGCGTTGTAGTAGAGTGGAGCTGGCAATTTTATGATCGGTCTCTAAATATTTATACTTGCACAATTTGAATTAGCTTCACATGGTATATAGTTTGAACATAGGTATTCCTTAATTTTTCATATAAAAGGTTTAGAATTATTACCCTCAGTGCTAAAACTCGAAGTTACTAACAAATGCAAACGTTTCTGTTACAAAAGGTTTAGAATCATTACTCTTGATGCTTGAATTTGGACCTTGCACCTTACTTGGGTAACATAGAGCCAAATGGCACATTGTTCAAATACACGTTCAAAACACTTTGGGTTTGACATGTTCTCTATTCTTGATCAAACATAAAATTACTAAAAAAGGCAAATATTTCTCAACACGAACATGGTTTCAAATGGGTCTCTGCGCCATTTGGCGCACCGGGTCATCTAGTGTATATTAACAATAGATAGTAGGTTAGTTACAAAGGCAAAGAATGACGGTGCCGGTAGAAACATAAAACCTCTCAAAGTAATAATAATACAGAAAAAGCAACAAGGACGTTTCATCACTCCTTCAATAAAAGGGTCATTGCTAACAATAACAGCTTGTGTAGAACTCTAGCCGTGTTTGGCCCGTGAGATGATTTTGAGATGGAAATAAATCAAAAGAAGGTTAGTATTGAGCACAAATACTTGAAAGGAAAATAACATGTAGCACATCATCGACTTCAAGGTAAAATTGAATACAGTGTTACTTTCAATAGATACCAAAATATCACTTATCAATGCTAAAATTTGATTATAAAATAAGTAACGCTAATATAAAAAACATGTGTCTCAGGAGAACCCAAGAAGGAAGTCTCAACATAT